CGGCCTGCCTGAGCCCCCGGCTGGGAAGGCTCCTCCGGCCCCTCCCCCACCTTCCCCCCTCTCGCAGAGCCCGGTGCCAGCGCTCTGGACCGCTCCTGGGCAGCTCTGCAGCTCCTGACGCTTTGAGCGGCATGGTAAGGGGGTGGGGCTGCGAGCTCCAGTGGGCCGTGCAGCATCCATACACGCTGCCCTGAGCAGCATGGTAAGGGGGCTGGGCTGGGGCTGGGAGGAGGGGTTGGATAAGGGGCAGGGAGCAGTTGGAGGGGGCGGAGGTTCTGGGGGGGCGGTCAGGGGACAGGGATTGGGGGGTTGGGTAGGCGTGGGAGTTCTGGGGGTCTGTCGGGGTGGTGGTGGATGGGGTCGGGTCAGTCAGTGGACAGGGAGTGGGGCGAATTGGATAGGGAGTGGGGCACTGGGGGGCAGTTAGGGTGGGGGGCTTGTACTCACCGGGCAGCCCTTAATAACCGGTTCCCTACCGGGTCATTGTCAGCACTTCGACAGCGGGTCCTTCACTTGCTCTGGGTCTTCGGCGGCACTACTGAAAGACCCGCTGCCGAAGACTTGGAGCGAGTGAAAGACTTTCCGCCGAAGTGCCGCCGATATGGTGCCCGGGCTACACCAATATTTAGGAATGTGGGCCTGTCTCCGCCAATGTTTGGGCTTACCGTGCTTTGGGGGGCCCTGTCCTTCAGGGGGACGCAGGGTCCAGGTTGGCCTGGAGGTCTAGCGGGGGGTATGTCTCTGGCAGCAGCGAGCAACCCGGCCCCAGCCTGCCCCACTCTGCTCCACCAGCTCCTGCCATCGCTAGGGGGAGGGGCTGGAAGCTGGAAAGAGGTGGGGGCGGGGGCTTGGGGGAAGGAGTGGAATGGGGGCGGGCTGGGGCCAGGTCACTCCCTGCTGCTGGCTCCAGGCCGTCCACTAACCCCCCAGGCCATCCTGGACCCCACGTCCTCCTGAAGCACGGGGCCCCCCAAAGCGCAGGGCCCAGGGCAGTTGTCCCGGTCTGTCCTGTGGACAGGATGGCTCTGGATCCAGGGTGGTCTGGGGATTTAGTGGGCAGCCTGGTGCTGGTAGCAGCCAGTGAGCCAGCCCCAACCTGCCCCTGCTCCGCCCCCATTCCACCCCTTTCCCCAAGCCCCCGCCCTGCCTCTTTCCGGCTTCCACCCTCTCCCCCGAGTGACGCCAGGAGTCAGCGGGGCGGAGCAGGGTGGGCTGGGACTGGGACAGGATGGCTCTGCTTAGACCTGTTCTGGGCACCACCAAAAATTGTACAAACCTGGTGCCCATAGGAGTGGTGCTCTCCAGTGGGATAACCTGGGTTCATCATCATGTTCAGTTTCCACAGGGAATGTTTGCAGCCGCTGCCATGCATCTATTGTGTCTCCTCCCTCCATCCCTGCTGCCTTGTAGAGGGTGAGGCCACATTAACAACAACGTGTTAACCCTTGAGGGCTCAGCTGCATGCTAGTTCATCATTTAGCAGCAAGGCATTCCCTGGGAAATATCCCACCCTCTGACTCCACCACCTCAACCAAGCTTCACAATCAGCATTGCTGTGTACAGTATTCAATTGTTTGTTTAACACTTATACTGTGTGTGTGTGTGTATAATGTCTTGTGTCTGGCAAAAAAAATTTCCCTGGAACCAAACCCCCCTTATTTACATTAATTCTTATGGTGAAATTGGATTCGCTTAACATCATTTTGCTTAAAATAGTATTTTTCACTAACATAATTACCACATGAAGCGAGGAGTTACTGTATTAGTCTTTTAAGAATATCTTTAGTGTTTAGACTCTATGAAATGCTTGTATGTTGCTGCCTGCATTAATCTCACTGATAATATCCATATCCCATGTTATAAGCAGACATGCCAAACCCACGAAAAAAAATGCGGCAACTGGGCTTGTTTTTTGCTTAATTGGCTTGTGAGTTGCTTGTTGGCTAGTTTTT